TCAGCTTTTACAGATATTTGGATTTCAAAAATAAAAGCAGGACTGAGAAAAAAGGCGGGAGTAAAAGTCATTAAGATATAATAAAATTGTCTGTCCTGTGGTTTATTGCCTCTGTTTGTCAGGAACATCATGGTTAGCCCTATATGAGTCAATAGCCAACGAACTAGTTGAATCAGACTGGCAAAATCTGTCCAGAAATGAAATCAAAGGCTAGTTCATATATGTTAACAATAATATTTAAGGACAGGTGGTTATTTTTAATTGCTTCTTTTTTTTTAATAAATGAGTGCAACATCTTTTTGCACATCAGCTACCCATCTTAGATGAATCTGGCTTCATTTTTTATGGTACTTGCTGTCAACATCTGCTGGTTTGAAGAGCTGATAGGGCTTGGCTCTGCCTACGTGAAAGATCAGTAGGGAAAAAGTGATTAGATGTTTGTTTCCAATTCTATTCAATTCCAAAGAAAAGAATTCAAGGATACTCAAAAGTATATGTTTTAAGATTTCGGAAAATAGTTCTATTATGAGAGAAAAAAGCCAGCTCTGGATTTTGACATAAAAAATAATATACATAAAGATTAATGGGTCTTATTCATCCCCCTGCTTTTGGTGGGCCAGGCACGTCATACTGAAGGAGTCATTAGAGTAGCAGAATACACTAATGCTTCAGTAGTACTTGTGTGAAAGACAAATGCTTGCAATTCAGTTATAGATCAAAGGAATATTTTTGGTATTTGCTTTTCTTGTTTTTTTTTTTTTCACCAGATTATCTTTAATAGCCTTATACTTGAATCCATACTTCTCCCATTACATATGTTATAAAGCACCTCCCTTGAGGTGCTGTTCAGGTGCTTGTTTTCAGGAAAAAAGTATAGTAATATCAGGATCAGAATGAAGAAAAAGTGAGTAGTTAATCAAAATAAGATTTCAAGCATTTTTAGGATGATATTAACCTCAGCGGACAAGTTTTTACAGTCTTACAAGGGTTCCAGTTAGTACCATAAGCCAAGAGAAAGCATTTCCCATATGAGTCTTGGCAAAAAGAGCAAATATGAGAGTCTTTTTAACTGAAATAAAATGTTAAGAATCAGAAATGTGACAGAAGAGGTATTTTCCTCACAAGAATGTGTGGAACTTCTCCTGGTATTTCATTTCCAGTCATAAAAGGCGAGGAAAAGCTCTGAAAGAGGGTTTAAAGACTTAGAAAAACAGTTAAAATGATTTTATTTTATTTTTTTTTTCAATAATCATCTTTGGCTGCATAAATGCTTTGCAAAGAGTGTGAGGTTCTCTTTCTAACCACTTTTTTTGTTGCTGACGCTTAGTGTCCCCAGATATACATAGTTTTTCTTCCTTTCTTTCTTTTTCTTTTTCCTGTTTCCCTGCTAGCCTGGGAGCCCCCAGCAGAAACCCAAGCGCCTGCGCCTGGTGGTGGATGTTTCTGGGAGCATGTACCGCTTTAACGGAGTGGATGGGCGCCTGGAGCGCTCCATGGAGGCTGTCTGCATGGTCATGGAAGCTTTTGAGAGCTATGAGCACAAGTTCAAGGTAATTCTAACTGGGCTGGGAGCTTTGTGGTTAGTGCAGAGAGTGTAGAGCAGTGGAAAAAGTGGTTCGGCAGTCAGTCTAGCCAAAGAACATTATTCATTCTTGTAAGAAAGTAAAGGTTTTAATCTGTTGCTAGCAACCTGAAAAAATAATATTGGTGAAGGGGTAAGGAATACTGCGCGCTTGACCAGGGGAGAATTCAATTTAAGACTAGGTGTAAAATATGCAGCTTTTGCATGTATTTATTTATTGAGCGGAAACACTTAAGATTACAGAACTTAGAGATATATATGCTTGGGAACATGCAAAAGTGCTGTCTTTTCATGTCCCCAAGTACAGACAGGAGTGTGATGGAAAAATGGCCCCCTCATTTTTTGATTGCTCATGTTCTCTTCCAGGTATGTGAAACCAAAATTGCCTGTTTTCTCTTCTGGAAGATGTTATGTCCCAAATATTATTTAATGGTAGCTTGCAAAAGAAACATAAATAAAATGTATGCCTTCCTTTGTCTCCATAAACCTAAAACAGGCCCAAGGCAGGTTTCTTTAAAGATGACCAAAAAGGCCAGTCTGAAGTTAATTCATGACAATTCATGACAAATTCAGTGTTTGATGGAAGAATAAAAATGTTAGATATCTTTATTGAAGAGCTTTAAGAACACAAAACTTAAAATACATCTGAACAAACTGTAAAACCTTCTAAGCAAAATGATCAGAAAGCCTATTCCAGATCCATTCAGTTAAGCCTTCTGTATATTGTTCCTCTGATAACATAATCAAACAGGCTACTATTCTTCCAAGGGAGATTGACTCCTGGACAAAAAAACAAACCATATAAGAAGTACTTTTAGAATGCCTTCTACAAAGCCAAACATCCAGATTTTCATTTGTCAGAGAAAAAAATGAGACCCATACTCTGCTTTTAGCCTGCTTTCCTAAGGAAGCAAGGTAGATGCTACCTGTCAGTCATGTTTACCCTCCCCTTAACTCTGGAGCATATTTTCCCTTTCAAAACAGTGCTTGAGTTCTCAAAGTTCCTACAAATGTCATGAAAATATGTCAGGTAGGAAAGAGGCTCTGTCTGTATTCCCCTTAGAAAAAAAATCTTCACCATAAGCTTAGACCTCAGCTTAGAGAATGTGTGTGGGAGCTCAGCCATAATTAGCAAAATCATGGGAAATGAGGGATTTATCAGCTCATGTGCTTATGTGTCCCTGATCACTGGTAATGGAAAAGTTAATGACAAGTATTTAACAGGGGCAATGTAATCATACAGCACAATCTGCTGCAGCTTGGTAAATTGGGTGTATCTGAACAACATGAATATTCGTGTTACCAAATGTAAGGCCATCCACAAAGGAATAAATAATACAAGTAATGGGCATGGAAAAATATGGTATGTTTGGGTATAGTCAACATGACTTTTTTTAGGAAAACTAATGTATTTTGAAAGAGTCAATATACATGTGACAAGGAAGGTTTGTTGATAGGGTCTCTTTGGATTTCCAGAAGCATTTGACAAAGTCTCTCACCAATAATTCATAAATAATGCCAGTACTTCAGGGGCTTAAATATTGAAAACAGGCAGTTATTAATGACCATTTTTTCCGAGCGAGGGAGTGAAGGGAGGTTATTGGAACTGCACTGGAATTTGTGCTGGGGCCAGTGTTGCTGTGTATGTACAGAAGTGATCTGGTAAAGTGGATGGTTAGTGAACTGACAAAAATTGCTACCTGAGTGAAGTTATTCAGGAAAATAAAATGAAATCCCTGTGTGAAAAGTTACAGGAGGAATTTGCAATAAAGAATGGTTGAGAAATAAAATGGCAGGTGGTGCTTGATGCAATTAGATGTAAAGTGTTGCAGATGGAAGAAAACAATCCTGATTTTAAATACACGATCATAAACTCTCAGCTATATATTAGCGCTCAGCAAAGAAATCTTTTAATTATAGTGTATGGTTCTTTGAACACTCAGTGTCTACCATCTGTCAAAAGGCTAATTAAATGTTAGAAAAAATAGCAAAAGAACAGAGAACAAAGCAGAAGGCCACTATAAAAATCCATGGTGCATTCATATCAAGAGTAATGCATGCAGCTGTGGTCCCCCATCATACAGAACTTATTTTAGAGCTGAAAAAAATAGAAGCAAGATTGACAAATATTATAGAGGGTATGGAAGTGTTCCCATGTAAGAAATGGTTAAAAGAACTCCTCAGTCTGGAGGAGAGAAAATTCAAAGAGCAGATAAAATCATGACTAAAATGAAAAATGTGAACCAGGTGTATGCTGTCTTGTCGTACAGCCATTCTTGGTTGCTAAGAATACTGAAATATTTTGCTCTTGATTTAGAGACAGTTTAGAGGAAGAGACAAGATGAGCATTGGCAAAGACGCGGTGCGGCGGTAGGTGACCAGCTGTCTTCATTTCCAGCTGAGAACGCAAACACGGCCCTCAGGTGCCCGGCGGGGGATGTAGGAGTAGACGTGTAGGAGTAAACAGACAGACAGCTCTGGGCACAGAATGAGTGAGATAATTAAGGGCTGTGCTCAGGTCTGGGTTCTGACCTGGAAAAGGATGATGTATATTTGGAAAGCATCCAGAGAAGGATTAGGAGATACTAGGCTGAAAATGTCCCTCTGCAGAGGGAAATCACTTTTTAGCTTTTCCAAGAGAAGGGTAAGTCTTCCTTGCAATTTATGAGGATTAATGTGAGGAAAAGGTTTCTCATATATGTTACTAGATGTTCTTTTTTGACTAAATCAGACAGATGCAAACTGCATTTTTTTTTTAAGTTTTAGCTGACAGTAGTGACATGTTAGATCATCTCCCCCATTGATAAAAAAAAGGCTCAGACTGAAATTAAGAGCAATTTCCAAGGTCAGCTTTAATGCACTCAGAAAATGAGTCTTTTAGAACAATGTTTTGTGTCATGGTCCCCTCTGATTTTAAAATCTATGATTCACTCCCCTTCAAATCCAGCTGTCTGTTACAGATCATTATGTTTTGTTTGGAAATACTTGCATTTGGCTAGGGCTTTGCCCCGCACATGGATGAAACCCTGCATTTGGCCATGTAAATGGCTGAAAATGCAGTTAGTTGTAACATGGAATATTCAGTCTAACAACCACTTGCAATTTATAATAACACTTACATAAAAACCATGTGCAATTATTAGATGTGAAAATTGCCACTCTTGGTTGATAGAAAGACAGCAGCAGTAATATTATCCTTACAGTCTGCATGAGTCAAAAGAGCTGGAGGGCTAATTTTATATTTACAATAACAGTGGTGGACAAGATAATGGAAATTTTAGTGACATATTGAGAAAAAGTCAGCTTCTAAGTCTGTTCAACTTCATTTAGCCATTAGAGCAACTCTCTTCCACATAAGCACTCCTTCCACTGGAAAGAGGAGCTTTGGGGGCCAGTAACGTCCCCTTGATTCGAGGCTGGCCAGACCAGTGGGAGCTATGTCAACTTCAGAGTTACTTTTCATAAGGAAGAAAAGATATTTTGCCATTTTCATACCTCCCTTTGTTGCTTCAACAGGATTCGGCTCACTTAAAGTATAAATATCTATAAGAGTATTATAAGTATCCCCAGAGGGGTCTAGAAGAGCACAGAAGATGTGGCCTTATACTTGACTGGCCATGGAAATCGTCCCCCAAATGAGCCCTGGCAGCTCTTGACACAGTGGCTGATTTCATGTCTAAAATAAGGACCTGTTTGAAAAGAAAAAATAAAGAGAAAACAACTCACAACTGTTTTATGTTCAATGAGCAATCTACAGTTTGTCATTTACTCTCTTCTTTCTCTTTCTTACCCTCTTGTTGGCTTCCAAGAGTGGCTTTATAGAGCTGACATTTTTGGCCTTCAGATATGCTTGCTGTGACCTGCTTCTGTTGTAGCCTCACCTGCAAAGGTCAGAGCAGCATTTGCTGCAAATTTAAGGGGGTTCTTGTATAACATCTCTGGAGACTGAGGAACCGTAAGGACTGCTGAGCAGAACGTTCAAAGGGGATTTCTTTAGCAAGGTTCCCTTCCCCTGCTAAGAACAACGCAGACTTTGAAAACCCATTTTTGGCGTTTGCTCACGGTAGTTTTCTGTGAATCAAGTGGACGTTTTGCTTGATCATCAGTTTTACCCTACCAGCTGAGCTCTCTTCATATTTGGTACCCTTTGGTGTCATTTATGATACACATTGATTTGTCTCTATGGTATTGAATATAGGCAAGTCATTATCCTTTTCCTTGGCTTTTTTTTTTGTACGAAAGAACTGAGCACTGCCTGTGTGGCTGTTCAGAGGAGGTTAGAAGACCGTCAGCAGGTATTTGTCCGCTTTTTATGCTTCTGTGGCACTACTTGCCTGCCTTCCACTTCCCATAAGGGCAGCCAATGAATCATTCGCTGTCAAGGGGGCAATAGAAGGTTCATCCCACAGCCAGGAAATTTGTTTAAATTAACAACCATCTTTCAAAGCTCGCCTCCAGTGTCATCTCTTCCATGCTTCCTTTCACATTCTTTATTAAAGAAAAGAATGGGAGTGAGTGACACATGAGTCCCCTGCAAGTGTGCAGATGCACAAATGATAGAAATAAGTTACAATAAACAAGTTGTTTTGCAGAACTGAAGCTCTTATATATTTTGTAGACCTCGTTTTGCATAAAAACGAACAGAACAAACTGGCAGTTTGTTGTCTGGTTTATCTGAAGTAGCACTGTGCCTGTAACACAAAGCTGTATGGTTTTGTATCATCCCCAGTTGCTGACAGTTGCACACATGGTGCCAGATTTAGGAAGCTGTCCAGTAAATTATATAATAGCGAATTTATGAAGTCTTTCAAAATATTGTAAAAATGGTTCAATAAATGGAATGTTATGCAACTGATAGGAAAAGACCAACATTTTATTTAGTACCCTATTAAAGGCATATTGCAGATTTTACACGCCAATTTCAGCATTTGCCATTTGGAGAGTTTACTATGGAGGCACTGTTAATTCAGGAAAAGAGCAAATGTTTCACATGGTTGGCAGAATAGTTTCTTTTAAATAACAAACAAAAGGCTTGACATAATACCCCCCCCCCAAAAAAAAAAATTAATGTTCAGTGTGCTCCAAACAAGAGGTGAATTTCTAAAGATCTCGCCCTCCAGCAGAGGCCTGTCTGATTCACACTGGCTTTTGCATTCAGCATGTGTCTTTTTTCGGCTTTTTGAAATGCCTTGAGAAATTAAACCTTTCAGTGTGGCAGCACCAGAAGACAAAGTCTTCTATTTTATCTATTTCAGGCAGTACCAACCATCCATTCAGCACAAAATGTAACAGTGGAATGAGAATTGTTTAACTTGCTAGGAAAGAAAAAAAAACAAAATGATATTATTTAGAGAGACATATGTTTACATACTGTATATTCAAAGCTTTATTTAAATTGGGTTTTTTTTTCTCAGTGTATCTGAGGCTATTGGAAGACAAGCCACTGGGCACCACAATAAAATATTAATTCAGTTAAGTCTGCACTGCGGCAAACAAGTATTTTGCTGCTGGATTTGTCTAGAGAGCTGTGTTTGATCAAACATTCAAAATAAAAATTGGTTCCAATCTTATGACAGTCCGGAGAGCTGTGTTTGATCAAAGAAACAAAAATTGGTTCCAATCTTATGACAGTCCCTCCCTCACTTTTAACTGTCCTCCTCCTGTGGGATTTTTAAGAAAAAGTCATTGGAGCTCTGCACGTTAGAAGTCCCTCTCTTTTGCTGTGTTCTGCTTCCATGTTTAGTGCAGAGGAAGGAAAGTCCGGGTTCTCAAAGCATTTATGGCCCAGCATGTGTTGGGGTTCCCAGCTGGGCATGGCTTTGCAAGGAAGCACCTCGTCTTGGAAGCGGGCACACCAAGATACCTTTGAATCACTGAGGGTTCATTTTATTAGAACACAGATCAGAAAGAGGTAATATTTCATTTAAAGAAAACCCGCGTGAGGCAGATTTTAATACAAAGTCTTAAAATATGTCTCCTTTATTACCCTTGCAGAGTGGAGTTCTTCCTTACAGTTTTACTCTATCCTTTGTCCTGGGCTGTAGTAGACTCCACAAATTCCCCTTTGCAAAAGCCTTTCATTCCCCTCTGCAAAACCCCTGAAGCTTGGATGTGGGTCTGGGTTTGCTCCCACCTCTCCCAGGTTATGGCCCAGTGGCAGCTCAAGTCAATCCAGGTCGGTGCTGCCGTGTTCCCATCCCCTCTTTTGCTCGGCCACGTGTCCCCCTTCCCCAGCCTGCGAGGTCATCTCATTAGCCCAAAGCTAATCTCATTAGTTTTTGGCCCCTTCTGGTGTCTGACTCTGCTCCCAGGGAATGAGAGGAGCATGAGGACCAGGGCTGAGGATCACGGCGCTTCCAGTCGGCAGTGTGCGCTCTCAGGCAAGGCAGGATCTCCTCCGACTTCAGGGAAGCTCCATTCGACCCGGGATGCAGCAGGCAGGGCAAAGCGCTTCCTCCCTGCTGCTGGCCACACTTGTTTTAACAAATCTCAAGCAGCGTTGTAAACTGTGGGCAAAGAAACAAGGACACAGGTTGCATCTGTTAAATGCACACACACACGTATGGGCACACACGGAAAATGAGCAGCAGCTGGCCAGGACGGAGCAGGCAGGACACGGTGTTCCCAGGCGAGCACTCCATGTGCCTGCCATCGTTTGCTGCGATAATTCCAGGCTCCTCTTGCTCTCAGTCGGGCTGTCTGTCCCCTCCTGCCTGGCGCAGGATGTGGAGGTGCCGAGGTGCAGGGTGCAGCTGTGGTGCTTGGAGCCCTCCTCCCAGTAAATGCAAAACTGTTCAGAAAATGGTGTGTGGAATTTTTATATTTAGGAGTCAGCCCTGGATATCCTGTAATGTTTCTGACATTGCATAAGAACTAGATTAGCCATGTGTATTTTCTGCTCCATTTAACCACTTCTTTATTTAGTTCCTCTGGTTTGAATAGTCTCCAGTTTTTGAAGCAATACACTTCCCCTCTTCTTCTGTGCTTCTGTCTTGCCTTTATTCCTGTATTGATTCCCAAGTAGGTTGAATGTAACCTCAGCATTATTCTCAAAACCCATATATTTAGATTTCCCACTTCATCTAGGAAAGCTAACAGTTTCAGGAAGACATAAGGAAGAGGTGAATTATTCATCAGGAAAGAAGGAGTCTGAAGAAATTGTTGGTGAGGAAAAGTTCTACTTTCAGAAGAAATAGATTTTAAGAGAAACAACTTTAAGAAAAGTCGCCTAGGAGACAGGCACCTTTACATCATACTGAGTAGCAAATATAAGAAAAGGAGGAGCTGAAAACAGGAATTAGAAAGCAAAGCAGAGTGAATGAGGAGTGCATGGGGACTAGATTATATAAAGATGTCCTATGGGAAGGAAGTCTGGGTTTTGTGAGGCTGTCACAAAACAGTCTGACCCTGGCTGACATCATCTGTAGTCCATGGCACATTTACTGGGTGTCATCTCTTAAAATGTTGTTCCAGCTGCTGTAGCTTTCTTTTACTAGATCTCTTGATTTATTTTTTAAGTAAATTGGGGCTATGGAAACCAATGGAAAGAACTTTGTTGATAAGACTGTCATTTATCCATTCTCCAGTACCTGACTTGTACCCGACTTGTCTTTCCGTAGAAAGGACAAGCCAGAAGGACTTGGAGAACAGGGCCTACATTTTACCAAATGATTATGGGCTAAGGACAAGGAACCTGGCAGGCACCTGTAGGTATTGCTTGAATAAAAGATAACAGAAGGACAAAATGTTGGATAAGGGCTCTCATGTCAACAAAATACATCTCTGTGCCAGCTAGTCGGGGTGAAATTCAGGCATGGACATGCACATTCCAGGGGTAGGTCTTTTCTAGCTGCAGTACACGGAGGAATTGCCAACTGAGGGCCCTCCAGGCACAGGATCTGTGCTCTGTTCCTCGGTGTAGTGAGCCTTTAAATCTACTTTTCTCCTGCTCATGAATTCTCCTTGGAACAATTGCTACATCCATCCTGCTCAAGGGCAGGCCAGGACTTTGCCATAACTCAGCTTGTCTTCTTTTTCATGTAATAATAGTAAAAATCTCACATAAACGAAAGCCTTAAGAATAGTGTTATTTGTTCAGAAGGATATTTGAACCAGTAAAACTCTGCATGTCATTTTTGCAGCATCTTTCAAAGGTAAATGATACCAACATTGTCTCATCTGGAAATGTACAGGGAATTCACTTCTTTGCATACTTTTGGCAATGATTTAGATCAATTATGCACAAAGAATAAGGAGTATAGGTTTCAAAAAGGCTTGTAGTACTTCCTTTTTTTTCAGTTGGAGCAGAATCAGGTTACAAAAACAATTCATCAAACCCTGCAGCTCTTCTTGAACAATCCACTTTTTGTTTGCAAGACTGAAGAGAAAGTAAATTGCTACTTCAGAATATGAGTGGGCAATGTTAAAGGGCAGGATCTTGATCCTGTGCATCATCACTCTGCAATTGGTGGGATGAGGTGAAAAAACATACCACAGAAATGAGTAACTATTCTTTAATTTCATTACTTTAGCAATTTCTCTCTTCCACATTTTAATGGCAGTGAGAAATTGCAAGTAGTTCCTTTAAACAGCTCGTAAGCAGTGAGCAGTACTTTTTGTTGTTGATGAAAGCAAATTGCTTTTGATCTGTCTTGTGTCATTTTGACCCAAGGATTGTTCATGATTAACAAATGATTGACTGAGTATCTCTCTTGCAGTATGATATTGTGGGACATTCAGGAGATGGCTTCAACATCGCCTTGGTTGAGAGTGACAAAGTTCCCAAGAACAATAAGCAAAGATTAGAGATTCTTAAGGTAAATCCTACTGATAAGTAATACTGAATAATTAAGGATTCAGGACTTCAAAGATAAAATTGTAGGTGAGTCACAGAAGGCAAAGAGTAAAGAGAAGAAAACTGAGAGAGAAGCAAGAAAACAAAATTTGTGCGTTTGTATAAGGCTGAATTAGAACATTTCAGAGGCATTGAAAATCAGACAGTGCCAAAAAAAGAAGGTAGAGATACTTTTTCTGGTCTGTTGTCATAAATGACTCATTTAGGAGGTTTGAAACCTTATACACTCATATACATTCCACCTAAATCATATAATGATGTTATTAGTGTATAGGTGGCTTGGCCTACTAGTGTGTACCTGGCCACCAGCTTGGTACATTAGTTAAAACTTTGTATCTAAGCGTCCTGCAAAGAATATCTTGAAAAGATTGGCAGTTAGGTTGGATTAGATTGCATTAGATTAGAGCAGGAATCTTTAATTTGTCTAAAATTCTTGAACGTCTGTGTAGCAAATACCTTCATCAGTGCAAGCAGTGTATTTCTCCTTTTTCCTTTGATATTGTCTCATAAAAGCTCAAACAAAATGGTTCAGCATTTTTAAAACATGTTGTCACTGTCAGGAGTCCAGTATTTGGTAATAACTGTGACCCTAATAGGATTTAGAAATCCAGTAGAAAAGATGAACAGGTGGAAGCTGATCATGGTGTTAGGAAACTAAACTCTGCTTTTTTCCTCAAGTACATAGGAAAGTAGCTATTCAAACTGCAACTGATGAAAGATTTTTACCTTTCTTAGGGTCCAGTGTAATTTTGTCCATGTGTAGGTTTTGTTTGACCCACTACTACCTATCTTAAAATACGACAGGTTATGTATGAAAAGCTACGTGTAGTATCTGGAGCACTGTGTACATTTTGGAAGATGCTTCCCTTAACATAGCATAAATGCATCTTTGCTCCCCCTTGAGCCAGATGAAATGAATGTTTACTCCGAAAGTCATTTTACCTGTTTCCTTTTGTCTTACATGGTGCACACAGATCATGCATGCCCACTCTCAGTTCTGCATGAGTGGGGATCACACCTTGGAGGGGACAGAGCACGCCATTCGGCATATCGTCAAGGAAGAAGCTGATGAGTATTTTGTTATCGTCCTGAGTGATGCAAATCTTGAGCGATACGGTATTCCACCGTCAAAGTTTGCCCAGGCCTTGACCACCAATTCTCAAGTCAATGCTTTTGCCATATTCATAGGTTCCTTGGGAGACCAGGCAGATAGGTAAGTATGTTTGTTAATCCCCCATATAACTTCTTTTGTTTCCATTCATCATGAATCTAAACCCTGCTTTTCATTACAGTGTAGCTAGCCGTGGTTGCCCCTGCTGATGTTTTACAATAAGGTTTTGTTATGCCAAAGAGGAGCTGTAGTTTTGATTTGTGTCGGGGAGGACATTGGTTCATGAGCCCTTGTGGACATCCTCTGTGGAAAATTGGATCAGGGTGTTCTTAGTGTCTAAAGGGAACACTTGAATTCGTTCTCTTACTGCAAAGTTTGCGCTACTCACCTATCTAATGTCGCTACAGAACCACGTCTGAAATGTGGTGCCTTTGGCCTCTCCCAATGTGGGATTTAAGTGTGAGTAGCCTAAGAAAACAAAGGAAATTGAAACAAGAAAAAAATAGACTTTAATGGCCCCTAAGACTGTTAAAAATCTGACTCAGATGCTACCTTTGCATTAGGACTCAGAGACCTAAATTCCTTGGAGAGTCAGAGCCTATTTTTAGTGCTAGTCTGTAGTTTTATTTTAAATTGTTCAGGCACAGGGCAAGATAAGGAAATTCTGTCCCAAGTGACATTCCCCATCCGCCAGTGACCTGTACATGTAACAGAAAGCTGTTGCAGATGCAAATGCTAAGAGAACCATTTTCTGCTTCTGTTCAAGTCTTTGACTGGGGCAGGATAATTCAAGGCCCAAAGGGAACTGGCCCTCAATGTGCAGTTTTAATCAGAAAGGGTTTGAAAGATGAAGCTGCAGAGCAAACATTAGTCATATCTGCAGGTCCATACATCAGAGCTGCTTTATGCATTAAAAAAGAATCCATTTTGAAAGGTGATAATTATAGAATGTCCTTTTAATTCTGCTAGGAGGAAAAAAAAAACAACTTTGACCATATCCTGCTGTGTAAGAACAGATCATATAATTGCCTAGTTCGCTGGGTATGGAAAAGGCTCACAATGCTGTCACTGAAATGCATTTGTGTGTGTGTGTAAGTGCAGCACTAGACAAAGCCTTCCTGTAACTGGTGTGGGGGAAGGCAAAGGGAATTCTTTGTTGCAGCTTTTTAAAAACTCACTTTAAATGTGAGGCTAAAATTATCATTGGGAAAGTGTTGTGGAGTACAAATTAAAAGCAGAGGAAAAATAAACTGCAAGCCTGCTGACTGGGCACAAGAGGAGTGGATTTTGTAAAGAACATCTTGTATGTGGTTTTTTTTTAGGGGGTATAAGCTGTGAATAAAGATATGTCAGGCTAATATTTGTAGAAAAATACCTTTCCGTCTAATCTACTGTGAGCTAGAAGAGGAAATACAAAAAGCACATTTACACTCACTGGACCTTTTGAAATGAAAGAGGTCCAATCAAATGAAAAGGTTCAATCAAAACATGCTAGTAAGTCTGGAGTAAGTAAATATCTTTTCAGAGAAAATTTCCAACTGCCCTCAGAAAATGTCAGTACCTTGTTGAGTCACTGGTACCTTCATCAAAGCCAGATTTTTTACATGTCTGAAGTAAGACCTGAATGGAAATCTCTTTTAAAACACTTGGATTGTCTTGCCCAAAAGCCCTCTGAGGCATAGGCGCATTCAGCGCTTCCTCCCGCTGCCGCTTCCCCAAGCCTTTAATTGCGCAGCGCCAGCTACGTGAATGGCATGTGCTGGCAAGGTATTCACGGGCAAACGCGTCTGTCCTCCAGGAGCTGCAGGAACGCGGTTGGAGATGGTAATTCCCCCTTGTCCCCGCTCTGCTCCCTAGGCTGCAGCGGACGCTGCCGGCAGGCCGCTCGTTCGTCGCCATGGACACCAGGCAGATCCCGCAGATCCTGCAGCAGATCTTCACCTCCACCATGCTGTCCAGCGCCTAGCGGCGTGCCAGGCCGGCCCCGCGCTCAGGTGGACGCTGCTATCGGGAAACCAACGCGGATCGGCACGCGGCTGCGCTGTGGGGTTTCACCGCAGACCTCTCCCCTGGCTGCATACGTGTTCAAAGAATTGCAGGGGGGGCCGAGGTGAAGCTCGCGATGGCTGCAGAACAAATGGTTTTTCCAGAGGGACAAATAAATAAAGGACCATTTGTGATCGTTGCTCTGGCTGATGTATTGCCAGCACTATGCTGTCGTCTCACCCGGCTTTATTAATAGCACCTCTCAGCCCTCTGGGGTTAGATAATGTTGTACAAGACAGAGCCAGCTCATCTGTTGAGGCATTTTGTGCACACAGGTCTGGACAGCTCATTCCCTTTCTAACCCTGAACGGGAGCGCTCTGCTCGCAGAGGAAGCCCGGCCTTCCTGCACGGGGGCTTCCTTGTTCGGGCCGGCGCTCGGAGCTGGGTGCTGGGAACCATGGAGCAGTTTGGAAACAGCCGCCGTGTAAACATTTCCTATCTGATCGGGCACGGTGCTCACAGTTGTCAGATCCAGAGAAAGCGGCTGCTAAGAAGAATGAAGGGAAAGATGCTTTCAGCTCTGCCCGGGAAAAATGAGGGGAAGGGCTCAAAAGGGTCTTGAGAGCCACCTGCCACCAAGGAGTGAAGCACGGCAGCATCTCCTTTGTAAGGCACAGGATGTCACCCCAAGGTGGCCACGGCACCCGGGGGAAATAAAAAAGTTACTAACACTCTACTCGAGCTCTTTTATACTCCTGCTCGAGTCTTGTGAGTATCCGTCTGGAGGACATACCTAGATATTCAAGGTTTTGTCTAAAGGAATTTTTAAATGTGTTCTGACTGTAGCAAGGTGTCTGTGTTGGGATATATTTCTTCAATGCCCAGGAAATTTATGAAGACTTCTTTTAGAATTGAGTTGGCTGGTGTTTGGTTTGTCCCTGAGGAGAGATTCCCTATTTATATGCTACAGAACAGATACCCTGTGTGTCAGGAACTCAGAAATACTCAAGGAATTTAATTTATCATTTAGCTAGCTGGTGTTCCTCTGTATCATCACTAATACTTTCTGTTCATATTAACTCATTTCAGGGTGATTAGAAAAGCATTCAAGAAAAAGAGTACTCATAAAAATCATGAGAAACTGGTACGTCCTTTCTAATATTTCTCTTAATGCTGCAGTTGCTCGGATTGCACAGTGAGCAGTCTTCTGTGTGGGGAGGAGACACAGCAATTTGATCTTGTTTCATACAACCCTCAGTGGTTTGAGGGGTCCAGTTTCTAATGGCCATTCACTACTACATCAGTCCTGCAGCAGCTTAACTTCCACTCAAGTAGAAATGCTAGGAGCGTCCAGCAGTTCCAAAATATGAAACCACATAATTTCCATTTCCAGAAAGATTTTGCTTCATTTCCTTCAAGGGAGACTGTGCCTTAGACAGAGGATGGACGTCTTTACCATAGCATTAAAAATGGCCTGTTTTCGACTGGTTTTCTTGTTAGCGTGCACTCTCTTTGGAAACAGCTGTAGGCTGTGACCTCATGTAACAATAAGTCTTGCCCAAATATTGTGAAATAATTGTTCCGACTGAACCACGGAGATAACCCAAACTCAGAGCAGGCGTCGCTTTGATTTTGTCTGGACAGCTTCAAAACTCTTTATGGCATGAGGGGACGGAAAGCATTTTTCAAAGGTTTGTTATATTGTTATGAAAACTATATACATGAAAACAAAGAGGTTAAAGATGGAATTCCTGTTTGGAGAGCAGGGAGTTGGGAGGGGAGCGTTGGGAAGATTATCCCTGGCTGTGACAAATACATACATGTTCACACACAGCTTCCTACAGAAGTACACATGAAAATAAAAGCATCTTGGCCTTGTTAAAACATTTTGAGATACATTTTGAGAAATTAAATGTAATTAAAAATGCCAAATTATTAATTCTGTTAGTAATTGGCCTTACCTGTAATAATTCTTTCAATACCTCTGATTTTATCACTAGCAGTTCCTTAAGAAGGAAACATTTTATTACTGTCAAAAGTACTGTACATTTTCTAGATTACTTGAGTGAATAAACTTTCTCGCTCTGCATCTCTTTATGTTACAACACTTATCTGTACAGTAAAAATTAGTGTTGTTTCAGAGAGACTGTGCAGTGACAAATTCCATTTGATGCCTTCTGTTTGCGTATCGCCGTATTTCATGTCGCCCTGTTTGACGGTATTTGCCTGTGCTGGGTTTGGTTTGTTTTTGTTGTTTTGTTTCGAGAGACTCTGCTCGTCTTTCACTTCCCGTTCAGGGAGCCGCAGGATGCGGCTGCGTTTGCACCCCGGCCGCCCCGGGGAACGTGAGAGTCTGCAGCAGTGTCTGGTCCTGTTTGAGACGAAGGGAGATCTATGAAAAGGTTGCTTTTTCAGTCTGGAAACAGTATTTTCTTTTTTTTTTTTTTCCTAAATAGCACTGTTTTCTTGCAGAGCGTATTGGACCTGACAGTGTCTCTCTAAATTGTTAAAGTTCAGTGAGAATTTCTCCCTGGGCGCCGTGCATCTCTCACCTGCTTTAATGCCCCTCGCTGCTGCTGAGGAATCAAAACAGCAGCTGTGCCTGTTCCTGTCCCTCAAGGACTAACCCTGCTATTTCCCTGCTCCGCTCACAAGAATTCAGCAAACTCGCTCTCCCACGTCCCTCAGCCTTGCATTAATGCATTCATAGGCATTTGTGTTTTCATTAGTAAAACACTTGAGTAATGTGCCTGCACTTTAATTAACAGCTGTGCTAGTGAAGGCTCTTGTTGCTGTACATGTACCATCATTCACTGACACTGTCGTTTCCTTCGAAAGGGTGGTGTTTGTTTCACTCTATTAAGATAATTTTCAACATTTCTCCTAGTTTATTGTGACACTTTTCAAGCTCGTCCATTTTTATGGAAAGCCACTGTGTGACTGAGTGAATAGATTCGTCCGTTTAAGTGGGTCTGGACGATTGCAAATGCTATAAAAATCATCATTAAGTAATTTTAACTACCTCTTGCAATGCAAATTTTTATCTAGGTCTGTTTACATATCTAATGTGTTCATGCTAACTAAATAACTCAGTAACAGTAAACAGTCGTTTAGCATTATCACCTAACTGAGGTGGAACG